ATTGATACAACAAATTGAGTGTTTTACTGCGTGTAAAGTTATTGTTTTAATGAAATGATCACAGAATACATCGTGTGAAACGGATTATACCACATCTAATACAATAAGTGACCGTATTAGGAGTGTGTACTGAGCAAAGAAAACGCTTACTATAATTATCCCAAAACAGAGTTTGAAACTTTATCGAGGCAGCTTTCTAGATCGATCGTTGCCTTCTTTTGATCACGAATTTTGGTTTGGCTTACGTCAAATACCTCTTGCAGTGGTAGAAACTTCTGTTTTGTCATTCAGAAATGCTTTATTTTACTGAATATTGTCTTACGCTTGCAGGTTATTTGCCTATAAGAAATAGACTCTTATCTTCATTCTCATATTGACATTGTTTTGAAAAAAATAGCATTCCACTTATTTTGTGATGAATGAAATCCTCTNGCTTACGCACCGGTTGCGGCGCCTCCACCAGCCATGCTGGGATCGGATCCGCTCAACGATCAGGTCAAACGAGACAAGGAAGCAATCTATAAGTAGGTTTACCATCTTGTCTTCTGTTATAAGGCTGATAGCTGTGCTCCTCAGCTCAGTTCATTCATCCATCGTGTGCAAAAATGTAGCATTTCGTAAACGACTTATCGCACCAACGTTAAATCTGCATGCATTATGAGGTCAACAAATTTTCGCCATCTTTCTGATATGAATGAGGTTTTATAAAATAGAAATAACTAAAGCAGTCAGTTGATCAGGTAAGATCATCGATTGTGCACAATAGCAAATGTGATTTCCCGTTTACGGTAGACAAACGAAAAACAACTGGAAAAGCAAAGAAACACCGCGACACGATATGCTTTGTCGTTTCGTTGTTTCCCTTATCAAAATGCATACTTTATCAATTCGTCATTTTTAATCAAGCAAAAAACGAGTTAATGTTTCAATATAATCTTTCTAAAATTGTTGCGATTAGCGAGTCGTTTTGTCTGTGTGCATCGCAATGCAATGCATGCAACTAAAACCATCATCTGTTGGTGTTGTTACAGTCGTGCATCAAGCAACTGCATAATTCGTCTCATAGACTTGACACTTACCGGTATTCTCTAAGTATTTGCTATGTCTGAAACGATTAGCTATGAGCGATCGGGCAGCTTTTAATAGCACAATGGATTCTGTGGAAATTGACCCATGGAAACATGATCGCTTCTGCTCTTCCGCAGGATTTAGCAGTCATCCTAGTGAATTTACTCCCAACTACATGGATGATCAGATGGTTGTTTCCGAGTTGGATTGTGGCCTGAACCGACCATATACATCTTATAATAACAACATGAAACATTTGAATCCGAAGCGCGCTTTTGGTGGTCAGGGTGTAGATAAATATGAGCATTTGATGGAGAGTGAAGGAACGGAAGAAGATGAAGAAATGCGATCGTTGTTTTGCAGTCATCCGTTATTCCCACTGCTTTCGTGCCTTTTCGAGAAGTGTGAACTGGCCACTTGTACGCCTCGAGAGCAGTCCAATCGAGACACAGGCGGGGGCAGTGCCGGTTCCACGGCTAGCGGCGGAGGAGCATCGTCATCGAACGACGTCTGCTCATCCGCTTCGTTCAAGGACGATTTGGCGGACTTTACTAAAATGGTTAGAAATTTTCTCAGATAATCTTTTTTTTTTCTTTCTTTCACAGTCATCACATTTTACCTCCTCAGTGTTTGAAATCTCCTCAGTGATTTTGATCAATCATTATGAGTCAGTCGCATTGCTTGATCTCAAAGTTTTTAATTTTTCAAACAANAAGGACGATTTGGCGGACTTTACTAAAATGGTTAGAAATTTTCTCAGATAATCAATTTTTTTCTTTCGCAATCAGTCCATTTTGCCACCTCAGTGTTTGAAATCACCTCAGTGATTTTGATCAATCATTATGAGTCAATCGCATCTCAAAGTTTGCTTAATCTCAAAGTTTTTAATTTTTCAAACAATTTCATCGATCCCACATTCACTTGGTTTAATTCAAATCGTCTAATTAAAGTTCTTTCCAATGACTGTGTCGTAAATATGTAGTGGTTGAATTGATTGGGCATTAGATTTACTATGAGCAGAGTGAATTAGTCGATAGTTCACTGAGTAAAGATTGCTGTGATACGTGTTTGAAGTTTATGATTGTGCAGTGAATGATTAACTTGATTCACAATAGATGAATGAATACTTGCAATTGTCAGACAGATGATTTATGCGGTTTTCCTCCAGTTGAAAGCAGCATATTAATTGATACACCAAAATCTGATCATATTGTGATCAATAACATAATTCGATGGTCAATCATAAAGGCAGTCTTTTGCAAATTCAAAAAATGCACATGTAATCGATTACATTGATGAATAATATCCCCGACGCGTAATTATTCAATTGATTCGATTTACACACCCCAAAAACGCGTTTTAATGCAGTGATTTATGCTTGTTTATAAGTCTCAATTCAACTCTTCACTTTCAGATACAAAACGAAAAACCTTACTACGTGCCCAACCCTGAAGTCGATGCGCTGGTAAGATCATCATCATTTCTGTGTCTTTTGATTCTTTTCGATAATTGTTGTTTGCCTATTAAATGAATGAATATTTCGCATGAAATTAAAAAAAAATTTTCTCAATGTTATGAAGTGATAACAAAAAAGTAATTTTCATTCAGATGCTGCANTCGATTCAAGTGTTACGTTTCCATTTGTTGGAACTTGAAAAGGTCAGTTCAGCAAGCAATCACTTCAGACTTATCATCAATTCTCAATCCCTATCATCGATTCGGTGATCAAAAACTTTTGAGCACTGAACAACACACACATGCACAACACCGTTCACATGAGAAAGACATACAGGAATGATATTGAGCACAATTTCGAAATTTCGAAGTCGAAGTGGAAACAAATGATTCCAAAAAACAGTCGTAAAATGTTCGCTGATAAAATACTGACAAAACTTTGAATCGAGGTTATGAGACAGTCACAAACGTATCAGCTGCAGCCGTCTCAATATCGCAACAATTTTTCCGTCTACTCATGATAATAACCGTCCAAATCACAAGTTATAAATGACAAGTGAACTGTTTCTGTCTGCATGATGACGTCTGTTGAACAACTGTCGCTTCTCGCTCATAAATCCATGCATTTTTCGAATTATCAATGAACACATTGCAGACATACAACATGACACATGCACAACTCAATAATGGCCATTCGAAAAATAAACATTGCAAATTTTTCTGATCAACCAAATTACTTTGTCTGACATGCTTTACTGATTAGTCGTTTAATTCTGTCGCAATTGAGTTCGTATCTTTTTAGCCAATTTGATTTGATGGCATACTGAAATTTGAAAATTGAAA